GTCCCAGGCAGAGGGCTAAACAAAGCCTCCGGGGAAACATCACGTACTGCTCAGGAGTCTCACAGCTCAAGTCCACAATTCCAACTCACGAAGCACACAAGCAAATCGTCATTCATGAGAGTCAATGTACAAAACAAGGAGGAGTTTCAGACAGAAGCCGGAAAACGTATTACTTGATAATTTTAACAAAGACAAAGTGAAACGAGAAGAATGACATTCTCAGAAGACCAGATGGAGTTGAACAAGACCATTTGAATGCTTAAAAATGTTTTAAGTAATGACAGTCAGTAGCAAATTTACAAAATACACAAAACTATCTTTTAAAAAAGAAAAAATAAAGGACTTCTGATCCTGCCACCCAGAGAAATTCACTACTAACTGTGTATTTTCTCCCAGAATTTTGGTCTATATATTCCTGTACTTAAAACCTGCTCGAGGTCATATTTAGAGAGCCTTCCAAGTTGTTTTTCACGTGTTATATTTGTCAATTGAAAGGACAGACCAAGAAAGGGAAGCCATTTTTCATCTTGTTCTTAAACCCTGACATAATGATATGAAAGTAGAAGCTATGCTTTTGGAGAAATGCACACTTTAGGTATAATTAACTTTACCGACTTTGTCTTTTCAGAAACAGACTTCCAGGTATCTGAAGTATCTCAAAGTGGCAATCAAGCTTGCCTAGAGTAAGGGGAATTTACAAGGCCTAGATCATACATTGGGCAAGGACTGCAAAAATCATGAAACTTGTAATTACAAAAGTTATAACCGTTCAGAGGAGAACAGGTGGGGATTCGATCTTCCAGTAAATTGGGCACCATCTACAGGGAAGCCAAGGAATGCCTAGGAGATGATAAAGGGAGGTGCACCCTCCACTAGCTCTAAGGAAGGTCGTTTGGGAAGGTGCAGGAGAATTAAAATCCCTGTCATGCCCTTCTCTAGGGGCCATGATCATGTGGGCGAACATTAATGGGTCTCTGTGTCACAGTTTCTCCAAGACATCCACAGGTGGTCGATAAGGAAGTCACAGCAGTCATGGCAGTCACGTGCAACATCTCCAAGAAAAGGATTTAAGCCAGGACTCTGGGGGGCTAGGGCACCACACTCACCTAGAGTGTAGGCCCACTCCCTGTCTGTGGGGGATGAACTTTTCTTAAATAAATCTTTTCTCCTCTCACCTCTGTGTGTTGCAATTCTTTGCAATTTACTCAGATCTCTGGGTTGCCAGCGCACACCTCTAGCTTGCCAGCCCCAGCAGTGCTGTGTGTCTCCCTGCGCCTCTCCACCTTCACCCTAAGTCCAAACCCTAATATCAGTCTCCTGAGGATCAGGAACAGAAGCCCCTTCTTGAGGGTGTGAGGGCCATCATCGATCACATGCCGCTGAGTGGCCGTGGCCTCTGTGGGTCCACTCTTCTTCCTCTCGGTTGAGCTCACCAGCCTGCACCAGACCTTCTCTCCCCTCCCCGCTTTGACAATTATGCTTTTTAATAAATGAGTTAGGCAACTAGCCAGACAATTAAGCATGTCGGACTTGAGGCTAAAATAGAATAAATGGGAAAGAGGCAGACTTCCCCAAAAAGCTTCACTATAGGAATGCGAAACTACTTGTGACCTCATTTCTGGTTCACACTGTTTCCTACAGAGCTGAGGCTGGTGAATGAGGTTGCAACCTCCAGACCATCATGTCATGCAATTTCTCTGAAGCTACCTTGTTTCTATGAATTATCACAGTTGTCTGAAAATAGATAAATATTTTCCCAGACTGGGGCGAGGTCTCTTTCAAATACATATAGCTACCTAATCTTGAACTCTTATTTTCAAAAACAAAATCAATTTCTCTAGAAGAAATGATAATTAATGAATTGAAAATGATTCAGCAAATACATAGATAATTGCCAAAACATCTGTGTTCTGTGCTTAAAATTCAAAAAGGGAAATAACTACAGAGGATATTTCCAGCCCATATCACTGCTTCAGCCAACGTGAAATTATTAAGGGACAGGAAAAGGAAGAAGTGCCAGCCATTTGTCCCTCTCTGAATCCATCCCAGAAACTCCCATATTGAAGATAAGAAACACTTAACAC